GGACAGAGTTCGGCGCCTACAAGAAGTCGCCGCCCAAAGAGCTGAAGGACATCCTCAAGCGCCGCCCTGGCACATGACCCGCGGGCACCCGCTGGGCGTTAACCCGCGAGGCCCTGGACCTCATGAAGGCCCGCCTTGTCGTCCGGGGATGCCGAGAGGACGTGGCTCATATTCGCGCCAACGCGCCTGCCGGGTCAAGGGGCGCGCTCTATCTCACGCTGGCCGCCGCCGCCCAGTCGGGCTGGGATCCCGCGTCTTGCGACGCGATGACGGCCCGCCTCCAGTCCGGCAACGACGAGAGGCTGCTACTGTTGCGCATGCTAGCCAAGAACCCGCCGCCAGGGATTTTGCCCGGCGAAATCGCGCGACCGGCGCCATCTACGGCGCCAGAGACGCCGGCCGACAGTGGTACCTCTACGCTCAGATGGCATTCCAGGAGCGCGGCCTTGTCGAGAGCAAGCTGGATAGGGGCCTCTACTACATCTACGACGACAAGGGCCTCGCTGCGATGATCCACCCGCGCGTGGGCGACTTTATGATCGCCCTGCGCGGCGACTCCAGCGCGTGGAAGCGGGTCGTGGCCCCGCGGGAGAAGAAGTTGCACCTCAAGAGGTCGAGGGTATCATCAAGTACTGCGGCTGGACCATCGCCGAGTCCGACGAGTAGTGCCGCATCGCCCAGGTGGCAGCCGACGCGCAGGTGGACTTCGTCGAGCTGAAGACCCAACGTTGACGATGACCGGACGTCGACCTACTACTCCGGAAGTCTCTGGCTACCGCCACGAGCTCGGTCAGCTGCTTTGGCTTGCAGCCCAGACCCGAGTGGGCATCGCCTGCCCGGTGAGCGCGGCATCTCGCCACGCGAACGTCGCCGCGGTGGCCAGCGCCAAGACGCTGAACAAGACCGTCACCTATGTGCACGGGTCCGCCGACTTCGCCGTCGTGATCTAGCGAAATGTCGTCGACGTGCACACCTGCGCAACGATCTGCTCCAGCGACGCCGCCTTCGCCGACGTGGACAGGGTCGAGAGCCAGTGGGGAATGGCGATGAGCCCTCCCGCAGGCCGCGCGACGTCGTGGCAGGACGATGTGACCTATGCCTGCCTGTAGCCTGGCACTCGGGTACGGTCATGCGCTCCGCGAAGTCGACGCTGGCTGCCGAGGGCTATGCGACTCTCGAAGGAGCCCGCTTGCTGATCACGGAGGCCTATCACTCGAAGAAGCCGCTCCAGAAGATCGAAGACCTCAGCCAGGCACGCCCTGGGGAGATCTACGCAGGCAGCAACGGCCTGGCCACTCACATCAGGTCTGACTTGGGCCGGTCCACCGGCAAGCGGTTCCGGATCGTCGCGGCGATGATCAAGGAGTCCGTACACCCCAGCAGGCACCTCAAGCTCACATTGATTCCTACATGGAGTATGGTCGCCGATTGCGCTCACCAAGATCATGGAGACGGGAGTGCTACTCGTTTTGCTCGGTGCCAAGAAGCAGAGCTTCGGGGCGCGGCTGCCACGCGCCGCCATGATCGCCAGGGTTCTCGCGACCTGCCTTGGCCGCGTCAAGGGGCAGCCCACGCTTGCACCTACGACGCCAGACGCCAGCTATTTTCGGTGCGCGTGGTATCTCATGTCGATTGCTCTGATGATTGGTATCATTGCTGGATTCAGTATCTTTGCTACGTTGTAGGTTGTGATGCGCCAGAAATCCTCGCTACGCGATGACATGAGGAGCGAAGCGAAGGCATCGGACACCGCAAGTGGACACCATTCAGGATGGGATGGGCGTCGCATTCGCTGGCGTCATCACGAGAGGCCAGCCGCGATCCCCGAGGACGCCGATGGAAATGTGCCGACGGCATCCCGCGTCTGTCGCCGCGCAGAACCAGTCATCATCCTCACCCAGCGGCTCAGCAGCGCCGGCGCCAGCTGCGCCCGCGTCGCCGCAGGGGCCGAGCGCACCATCAACGCCCATGACGATTCCCAGCCCATCATCAACGAACGTTGTTTCGTGGAACGGATCGACACCTAATTACGGTTGCGCCCCCGGAGATGAGCGAGTGCGCCATCAAACAGCGCGACATTCGAGTCGGGCACGACCCGCGCGACGTGCACGTAATTTGCACGACGTGCGAGAAGCGCGCATCGTGGCTTCGCCAGAACCACATGACCAATGCGCCAGATTTCGCGAGGATGAGCAGCAGTCTGCGCTGGGACCTGCAGAACAGGTGGAGTCAGATGGCGGGGGCCGACAGGCCTTCGCCAGCGAAGGCCACCAAAAAGAGCACGTGAAGCATGCCGCCGCTCTGTGCAGCCGTTAACTTTTGTGGGGGGGTCCCTCTCTCTCTCTCTCTCTCTCTCTCTTTTTTTTCCTCTCTCTCTCTGTTTCTCTCTTGTTTTCTGGTTCAAACATGTTGGGATTAAAAAACAGGACGGCGGGCTTTGTGGCCCACTGCGTAAGTTCGCGCTGCAAGAGTGGAGTTGCCACGCCCGGCACCCGCGAGTTAAGAAGCTTCATTCAGTGTGCGCCATGTAAGAATGATGCTGGCCGCGAGCCTGCGCCGAGAGCCTGCTAGAATTCATGTTCTGCCGTTGCGTGTAGCAGCTCCCGTAGAATGCCCCCGGGCAGCCGGATTGCAAGACGGCGAGGCCGTTTGCCTGTGCTGAAGTGGAGATGCCGCGCTCGGCGCCCACGTGCCCGCCAGCAGTGGGCGGAGATGCCGCGCCAGGCACCCGCTAGCCGAGAGATGGAGATGCCGCGCCCGGCACCCATCAGCCGAGTGAAGCGTTCGCTCTCTCAGCGATCGCTAGCCCTCCACATGCAGTCGTGGGTGACTTAAGATGGTCACCGCTGTGGGCGCCATGGACGGCGACCAGGAGGATAGTGATTCAAGCTCACTCCCGAGGGTTTGCAAAAGGGGCCGAGGGGACCCTGTCAGACAGATACAGGCCGCGCAGAGGCCGAGATCCCCGCTCTTTTCTTGTCCTTGCTTTTGTTGTTCTCACCTTTCCCCCCGCTGCCTCCTCGGTTAAAATGTTATTATGCAGGGCCCTTGGCCTGAGAGCTACGCCTCGCCTCGCCGCGTGAGAGAGTAAAACATATCTTGGCGCCGCGTGCCCATCCATATCACAAAATGCAGTCTTTTGCGAAGGCCTGAAGTATGGCCGTTGCCGCCGATCCTGAAGGGGGCGACGACGACGACAACGGCGGCGGCGGCGGCGAGGACGACGACGACGCCGACGTGGGCTAGAGGGAAGTTTCTTGGGGTCTCTTCGGAAGGCCCTCGGGGACCTAAGGGAGGAATTCTGGGGCCTCTTGGGGGTCTCTTGGGGCCTCTTCGGGCTTCCTTGGAACTTTTTGTGGGCCTCTTGGGGCCTCTTGGGAACCTCTTGGGGCCTCCTGGGAGCCTCTCGGGGCCGAAGGCTCGAAATGTCCATTCGGGCCCCCCGTCCTGGCACGCTCTTGGAACCGTCGTGGCGGGTTTGTTGGAGGAATTGTGGATGTCTTGGGGTCCTCTTGGGCTGTTTAGGGGCCCTCTTGGGGGCCTCTTGGGCCGTCTTGAGGCGATATCGATATTGGGGGTCTCTTGAGACGTCTTGGGGCGGCGGGGAGCGGAAAAGGCGAGAACCCCCAAATTTGCAAAACAACCAAAAAGGACCACATGCGAATTTTGCCTCGTGGGGCCCTTCTGGAGAGTGCTCTTGGAGGCTTCTTGGGACGTCTTGGCGGCCTCCTGGGCAGTGGAGGGCGAGAAGGCGTTTGGGACCGATAGTTTGGCGCTTGGGGGCCCTCTTGGGCCATCTCGGTGGCCTCTTGGAGCACCCTTGGCTTGTCTTGGTATTTTCTGAGGCCCCGGGGCCCCCAGGGAGGAATGTGTATATGATCCCCCCCTCTCCCCTTGGACCCACTGGCCTCCCCCCCCCCCTCCGTGACCTCCCCCCAGACCCCCCACCGACCCTTCCGGACCCCGCCCCCCCGACGGGGGAGGGATGTTTGGGAGGGGGGGGTCCTTTCCACTCGATCACGGCATTGTCGGGTTTATCTCTCGCTGACAGGCTGGAGGAGGAGGGCGCAGGGAAAAGGGATGACGGAGACCCCTCGCGGTCTGGAGTTCCGCAGAGGGGCCAGCGGATGACAAAAGGCAGGTTCGGGCCCCGGCGGCCGCGGGTCTCGACCGGCCCGCGGCGCCAGCAGGTCGTCGGCGGGTCGGGGCGGGTCCTCGGCGGGCCGTGGGCCGACGGGCGGGCCGCCGCGCGGGCCACGAGGCGCGTCCCCAGCGGGCGTGGGCGCGTGCCACGGCGGGCTCGGAAAGGGGTGCGTGGGCGGATCGCCCGCGGGCCGCAGGCGTCGCGGCCGTGTCGCTGGGTTGGTCGCGGGAGGCGTGGGTCGCGGGAGGCGCGGGTCGCGGCGGGCGCGGGGGGCGGGCGCGGGCGTGCGGCGTCGGCAGTCGTCGGCGGGAGGCTGGCGGATCGCGGAGCGGGTCTCGGGACCGGTCGCGCGGCGGTTCAGGTCGCGGCGGGCGCGGGCCGCGGCGGGCGCGGGTCGCGGGGCGCAGTGGGCGCGGCGCGCGGTGGGCGTGGGGCGCTGGCAGGTCGTCGGTCGGTCGTGGGCGGATCGCTGGCGGGTCGATGGGCAGGTCGCGGCAGGCGCGGGTCGCGAGGGGCGCGAGTCGCGGCAGGCTCGCAGCGCGAGTCGCGAGGCAGATCGCGGTGTGCGCATGTCGGTCGCGAGGGTCGCAGGTGGGACTCGGGGCGGGGCGCGGCGAGACATCGACATGGGTTCTGAAGATCACACTGTAGGAAGAACAGCAATCCACCTCTGCGGCATACGAACTTCGTCCATGCACCGTAGGACAGTTTAAGACGTTGGGCCCTCCACACTCTGGCGTCGCATCGAGTCTGACACAAGGTCGTGCAGCGTCGTGTAATGATGTGCGGTGCGGCGCCATGCAGTGCGACGCGATGTAATTCACTGCGTTTGAGCGCAACGTAATGTAATGTAAAGAAGATTGGTAGTCAGATGCCACGGCTTGCAAGTGCATGTATGTTAGAAGAATAAAGACATATCCAGGCCGCTGGCGGCGCATCACCAGCCGCTCCCGGGGAGTTTTGCGAAGTGGCGCGCAGTATCGATCGTCGTGACGCAGCGCGCATGCCAGCTGTTCTTGCGGGGGATTGCCTGAAACTGTCTTTGGAGTATGTAGTGTCCTCTGGCCAATCTCGCCACCGTGCCTAGGTTGTAGTTCAGAGGCCTCTTTGATGCCAATGAGGATTTCTTGGAAGGCTTTTCAACAGCCTCTTGGAGACGGTTTTGGAGGTGTCATGAGGCCTCTTGGGGGTTTCTTGGGGGTCAGGCCCCTTGGGATTCTCCAGGGGCTTCAGGGGGGCCCTTGGGGGCCTGATGGCGGACTCTGGTGTAACCTTAAGGCGGACAGCGCGAACTGTCACTTCGAGTTCTTGGGCCGTGCTGGAGCGTCGGAAGCTCGAAAGGGCGAGAATGTTAAAAAATGCTTCATGCGCGTAAGGACAAACAATGGTTTTGTCCTCTCCGGGCATGGGCCTTCTTGAAAGTCCTCTTGGAGGCTCCTTGGGCCGTCTGATAGGTGGTTTGGGTCGTCTGGAAGCTGTGTTGGACCATATTCGAGCCTTTGTGGAACGTATCGTTGTTCTTTTGGACCGTCTTGGGCAGTCTCGAGGCTGTCGCGCACTGTGTCGGGCTCCTCTTGGGTCGTCTAGGGGCCGTCTTGGGTCGTTGTAGACGTTCTGGGGCTGGGGGTCCGCGAGGGACCGCCAGCAGAGTGGGGCCCCCTCGGGGGGACTCAGGGAAATTTAGGTTCTTGCAAATTGTGCCAAAGACTGCGCCACACACTCTGACAGAGAGGTCTCGCACGGCCCAACCCGCAGGCTGCATTGCTGTAAATCAGGCACAAGAGTTCCGAGTGGTAAGGGAAGAGGGGCGATCCTGTGGGAGAGTGCTTACATAGGGTCCACGGGCTACAGATGTTTACGCGATCTGCAGAGGCAGCAGCAATTGCTTGCAGTTGTCGCTCGCGTCTCACGAGCGGGCCAGCGCTTGGGAATCGTCAATATGAAAGGCCATGAGCTTCTCCGGCGCCAATATTCCACCACTCCGGCACCAATACTCCCCACCACTCCGGCGCCAATACTCCACCCTCCGGCGCCAATACTCCACCAGCAGTCGAGCATGCCGGAGGTAATGTTGGGCGGAGTGGCGAGATGGTGCTCGACCAGCTGCAGTCAGGCAGCTATGTATGGATATTCCCGTGAGGCACAGGACAGCACGTTTTCTTTCTCATATTTGTTATCGCATCTCCCCTTGCATCATCCTGGTCGTGTATGCCGTGTACTTCTCATTACTTGTGCAGTGTACCTTGCCACGGTCGGGTCCTCTATGGGATACGGATGGGGGGTCAAGCATTCGGATTGGAATTCTCTCCAGCACCATCTGCACGGGAATGGGCCGCAGGGGAAGGGGAAGGGCAAGGGCAAGGCAGGAAAGGGGTACGACGACACCACACGGAAACTCACCTTCGAGGAACAGATCGCACAGGCATTACCACAGGCTGCCAAATTGCACATGCAGCCAATACTAGTACAGGAGGACTGGGAGACTCAGGTAGTGGCGTGGCAGACGTTGGGGCCGAAGGATGGCGTGGCCATTGTACCCAAAGACGCTCTGCCCGAAGTGCTTCGCAACGTAGGCTACTCAGCTAATAAGCCCACAGTGGCGGTACTTATACAAGACCCAGATGAACTGGGAATACGGGGGTATCCACGAACATACATTTCTTGCAGGGTACGGGTTACTACAGAGGGTGGGGAAACTGCGGACACAACGGTGCAGCGCTATCTAGTGCAGTTGGGGTTTGGCGAGCAGGCCTCGATGAAAGGAATTGGGATGGAGATCGCGGTGACGAAGCAGATGGTGCCGATGACAGCCAAATTCTTCCTACGGTTGGGCTGGCAGGAGGGTCAGATACTTGCGGCATTCCTCATCGAGCACGTCGGGACGTACGTTGAGCGTGAATCCGTGGAGGATGTACAGTCACGATGCAACGGCACTGTTACGTTCCAGTGCCATGCGATGTGCGTGGACGCTCTGCTCCGCGCCAGCGGCAAGGATGGAGCATTCTTCAAGAAGCGGGATTGTGAACCCCTGGAACCCCTGTGGCTCTCCGACCAGACGCCTCTGAGGGAGGCATTGCGTCTGTATGGTCTACCCGCGGCGCTTGGCCTGGCTGAGAAGGGGAAAATGGACGGCTAGCTCTGCGTTTTGCCGACGAGGACACTTTGGCCAAGTTTGCAAATGCGAACAAGCTCCCCTTCACGGCAGGCCTGGGGCGATGAAAGGTCACGGGCGTGCCCGTTTCAGCTGGCAGCGCCAGATTGTTTGAATTGTTGACCACGTTGCAATGGCACGTAACCCAGATTGCATATTTCTATGAGAAACGGGCGTTGCTCCTAGCCAAGAAGGTGGGCAAGCA